TTTACAATCGTGTCACGAAAGAAATGCAATAGTAGGTTTAAGACAAGATCAATTATGATCAGCAATGAAATTACCCTTTAATGATAATTAGCCCCAAATCTTGATTACTGCCAGCTCAAATTATCTGGTCATAAGGCATACAAAGTACTGTGTTCGTCTACTTCAAACCAGAACGAGAAGAAGAGCAAATGAGACAGAAAAGGCCAACCACACAGGCCTCCATGCCTAAGAGGAAGCAAAATATTCATAAAGACGTTAACTAAGCACAAAAGTTACTTAAAAAAATAAGTCAGCTGATAATCTCCCTCTTAAAAACGATTATTTTCTCTCATCAGAAGAATAATGAGAAACAGATCTCAAGCCCTGAAAAAAAGTGAGGCTCTCTGGTGAAAAATGCAGCCAGGTGGATCCTGGGAGAAGGTGAGATCGGCACGTCGGGGACAGAGTCGAGGGAGAAGCCTGTGGCCTTGGGACACGAAGAAAGGGGGACACGCCTCCAGTTCCAGGCTGTTGGGAGGTGGTGGAGTCTGGCCCAGCGAACTGCTAACTCACAAACGACACAGCATAACCACCTGAGGTCAACTAATACTGCTTTACGGAGACAGAGTCAGAGCACTTTAGAGATGGAGATGAACACCTTCGTTTCACAAGCGAGGAGACTCAGGTGCGAGGAGCTAGAGTGACTTCTCATGGGACTAACTAATGGCAAAGCCCGTTCTCCAGCCCACGTGTCCTGACTCCTTGCCCACCTGCTCCCTCCCTCCCTCAGATGAGGAGGAGGGTCTGAGGAGCAGTGACCAAGGACTGCAACCGGCTAGCCATCGCTGCATCTGTCACAGTTCTGAAACGACGCGCTGCTCTTCTGGCCTTGAATGTGCCCATCTGGTGATTCAACACCAGACAGTTGCCAAGGAAAATCAACATTCGTACTGGAGCTATAAATCCTACTGACCAAAACCCACTATGCACCGGGCACCATGTTAGCCACGAGTGTTCATTCGCCTCTTGTAAATGCTCACAACCCAGGTGTTCATGACCTCATTTTATTAAAAACTGAGGCCTAGAGAGATGACGTACGTAACTTGCTTGTCGTGCCCACCCCACCAGGTGACAGCGATCCTGGGTCCAGACCAGTTTTACCAGCCCCTTGCGCTTCTGCAGCTCCTCATTCAACTGATCGTGAGAGCTGCACAAGAAGCTCTCCTGCCTGAAAATATCTGCATCATTATATATGAAATGAATGGATCCTAAACAATGGAAAGAAGTTTCTAAAATCTGGGTCTAAATATGAGTCCTTCCAATTACTTAGCTAATGAGAGAAGCTTCTTACAAAATTCCAATTCTTTTTTCTCAACTCTTTGCTCCAGAGATCCTAGATATTCTGTTTACTACTCTTCTCTTTCAAGCAAAAGCTTAAGTCCCCACAAGCAGAAGAGAAAGACAGTGGGAACCTTAACAAACGGGAATGAACTCAGAGAAGGTCACCGAAGAGCGTGGCGACAAGACCGTGGAGAACCTCACTGTTCCAGCTCGGAGGCTGCATGCGCTGGCCGGCCGGCCTCGCCTCTGGCAACCACCTGCCACCTTTACCTTCTGGAAACATGGGCACAGGGCCAACCTGAGGATCTCTGCTCTGACAGAACAGAACACCTCTCCCTTCCCAGCCTGAACACGACCCCGAAGACCAGGTGGGTTTGGCGCTACGACGTCTCTGCAGTTTGTCACCTTCTGCCTGTAGGGAGGTTGCCCTGTTTAAAGCTAGGACATTCCAAAGTGACCTATTCTTAACCCAGGGAAGACCTACGGGGTGTGAGCCTGTTTGCTCACATATAGACCAAATAGAAGTGCAAACGGGGCACCGTGTGCTTCCAATGAAACACAACCGACCTCCTTTCCGAGTGACTTTTTGGGGTTTGTTCACGGGCAGTCGCAGCTTCTGGGAATACAGACATGAGGGGTTCTGCCCTTGAAGAGCTCAGAGTCTGCTGGGGAGACCACACCCTTGAAATGATTAACGGCAGTGTCAGGTGATAAGTATGAAAAGACGCAGGTACATCAAATGCCATAAGAAGTGATGGCACAGGAAGAGAGGGAGCCTCATCAAAGAAAGGGGCCACGGGACTCAGGTTTATAAGATGAGCAGGAGTTTTTCAAGGCAACAAAATGAAGGTTCAGGGACATTGCAAGTAGAAGGGCTAAGTGTGTTCACAGGCTCACGTTTATGAAGGGGCCTGTAATCCGAGAGAGTGAAGAAGAGCAGTTTATATGTGAGGGGAGGAGAGGAATCCGTAAAGTAAGCATCGCAGAGACTATCACAAAAGGTCTCTATAAGGCCCAGCAGCCAACGAAGGTTTTAAAACACATTTAGATTTTTTTTTTTTTAAGAAAGTAATTCTGACAGACATGCCAAGTATGGACAGAAGCCTACATCAGGGCTGCACACACACACAAAATAAAATGTGAGCCACAGAGCCAAGCCACATATGTAATTTAAAATTTTCTAGTAGCCACATTTAAGGTTAAAAAAAAAATTAATTTAATTTAATAATATATTTTAACTCCCCAAATGCAAACTATTATCCTTCAACATGCAGTCAATATTTTAACAATTATTAATGAAATAGTTTGTATTCTTTTTCTCTCGTACTAAGTCATCTAAACCCGGCACACTAACAGCACATCTCAAACTAAACGGGCCACATTTCAAGTGCTCAAAAGCCAGATGTGGCCAGTGGTTACCACATTCGACAGCACAGCTCTTGATAAATCAAATACAAGACCCACTTAGGAGGCTGTGGCTGTAGCCAAGAGTCCTAACAAGAGACGATGAAGTCTGGGCAAATATTTCCAGCCATTGGACAAAGGCTGAACTGCCACTGAAACGCAATTTTACAAACATGTAACTTATTTTTTGTTTTGAATGGGTATAATTCACCTGGTTCACAAATAAAAATAATATAACAGGGTATACAAAAACATCCTTTTTCTGACCACCCCATCCCCCACCCATCCAGGTAACCATTGAGTTTCTTGTTTGTTTGTTTACCCTTTTGATATTGCTTCATGCAGATATGTGGACTCATATATTTTGTCCCCCTGCCTACACCAAAGGTAGCATACTACATATTCTGCCCTACCCCTTGCTTTTGTCATTTAGTAACATATCTTAGAGATCTCTCCACTCACTGCATATAAAGAATTTCTGTGTTCTCTTTAAATGCTATACAGTATTCAACTGTATGGGTGGATCACAGTTTATTCCACCAGTCTCCTACTAATGGATATTTAAATTATTTCCAATCTTTTCTATTACAAACAATGGTCTAATGTAAAACTTCCCATAATACGTCACTTTATATGTATTCAGATGTACCTGCAGGGAAAAATTACAGAGCCAGATCACTGGGTCAAAGGATAATTGCAGTCTACAGCCACGCTACCCTGAACAAGCCCGATCTCGTCTGATCTCGGAAGCTAAGGAGGGTCGGGCCTGGTTAGTACTTGGATGGGAGACCACCTAGGAAGACCAGGTGCTGTAGACGGAAAAAATAAAAAAAATAAGGACTGTAAAGCTGACAAGGCCCTTGCAGCTGTGAGGTCAACCAAGGGTTGCCTCACTTTAAAAAAAAAAGTATTGCATTTGTAATCTTGATAGATACTGCCACACTGGTCTTCATAGGCCTGTGCTATCTGTGCTCTCACATGAAGTACAGTGACAAATTTTTCCACATCTGGTCTACAATGCATAATTGTCACACGTCAGAGTTTTCACAAACCTGATGAAGTGAGAACTGCTACTTCGGCAATTTAAATTTGCATATCTCTTATTATGTCTGAGTCTGAAGATCTTTTCTTCAGTTTAAAAACAATCCGCTATTTCTGGTTCTACGAAACACACGTTCATATTCTTTGCCTATTTTTCTGTTGGTCTGCTAGTCATTTTCTTATTCATTCATTTGTAGAAGCTCTTTACATAGAGAGATTAGTCCTGTGTCCATTGCGAATACTTTTTGCACGATTGTCATCTGTCTTTTGAATTTGCTTGTGCTCTTTACCAGGTAAATATTTTTTATCTGAATTTAAATTTATCCATCTTTATCTTTTATGGTTTCTAAATTTTGAATCATAGTTTAAAAAGCATTCTTTCTTCAAAATTATAAAGGTATTTACTCACGTTTCTTGTAGTCCTTTTACAATTTTAAGAAGGCGTGAATATATACTTATATTTTGAAATCCTTATGAAAAAACTTCACTTTTCACTTTTTCCAACTGAGGCAGACCAGACATTTTATGAATTGCTCTTCTGATTTCTCCCTCCTTTCTTTGTCATGATTCATTTGACTATCACGTTGCTCATCATATAAAATGAACTGATCAAAATGGAGTTTATTGGAATGGTATGAGATACAGAACCAACCTCATCTTTCTCCAGACAGCTACCCACTTGGCCCAATACCATATACTAAAAATTTCATCATTATCCCATTAGAAACATAATTTTTAAATATTTTTCTATTTGTGTAGACAGTAACCTGGATTTTTTAAAGCCCACGTTTTTAATTCTCTAATCTACATACTTACAGAGGTAAATACAATGCATGCTATTCAATTATTTATGGGAACTGCCAAGTTTCATGAAACTGCATTCATGCATAAATGTCTTTACTCCCACATCATCATCAGTATCTCTTCAGTCAATGAAGAGATGTATAGGCACAAACCGCCATGGAGAAGTTTACAATTCAGAGGTTACTAAATTATTTCTTACAATTAGTTTGTTCAAAAGGCAAGCAGCACACCACAATTCAAGTTTGGCAAAACTCTCATCAATGACAGAATTCTGGTTTACCCAAGTTCATTTTATATGATCACCAGTATGATATTCAAAAGAATTATTAAAAAGAAAGAAAAGAGAGAAAACAGAAAGGTGGTTCAGATAATCTGTGGTCCACCTCAGTTGGAAAGTAAACACTATTTTTTGAGTTTTCATGAAGATAAACAAAAATACGGACTGCTTCGCAAACCTGTGTGTCGCCCTCGCACGGGGCCATGCTTATCTTCTCTGTAACATTTGGCAACATATTTAGTATATGCGTTGCCAAAATGAGCACGAAAAATGAAATTCTTTAACAAAGATTTAACACTCCCAATTATTTCTATTCAAAAGTTTCTAGCAAATGGAAATTTTTAAAGTAAAAATGAGAAAGGTATAGTATTCTAAGGTAAACGCCCTTTTACTCTAATACTAATTCAGATCTTCTATGTCAGCATCCTTCAACTTTTATTTCAATCAATGCTTATTGTATATATTCCCTGTCCTTTGAGGTTATAAAATTCATTATTATAGTTCAGTTTTTAAGAGTAATGTAGACATACACATACACGCACTCAGTTATAAGCAGTATATCCTTCAAAAAGAGCAAGATCACTTCCTACAGTGCATGCTCACTTATTAAACACAAATTATAAATATACATATAGGGGATAACAGTATCAGAAAAATAACAATGTCAACAAAATGATCCTACCCAAGAAATAAAGGAAATGCTGGGGATGTGGGTCAGGAGAACCCCGTGGAATAAAAGCTCCCCCAGTCGTGAACAAGGCACAGCTTCTAAGACCTCTGTGATGTTTCTAAAAGAAACAGAGCTAGAGTAGAAGCCAACAGCCTTCTGAACAAACAGACCATAGTCATGCTCTGGGGGCGGCCCCTGTGTCTCCCTACCTCCCAACTCCCTAAACTGCTGCTTCCCAAGTCAACCAGCAGAATTCTGAGAAGGACTCCCAAACCTGATCTCCAACTCTGAGACGACTCTTGACTTTCCAACCTGCAAGTGTCTAATGGAAGCCCATTCTCCCCGTATCATACCTACGGATCTAAAATGAACCATTAATGCCCACTTGCCCCTCCGATCCAATAAGACCCTCCCTTCCTTCCCCTATGTATGTCAATACTATTATCATTTTCCAGTTTTCCTGGGCTCCTTCACACCTTATACCTTAGGCATCTTCTCACTCTTCACACCCTGACGGTCGCTCACCAAGTCTTTCTCTGTAGTGTCCCCCATCCTGCCCTTCCCTTTTGTTTCCAATGCCACTTATCAATTTTAGACGCCCCCTCATATCCGGTGCCTACTTCATAATGTGCTGAATTCCTTGTTTCCTCACTCTCCTGTTTACAAACAATTCTACATCCAATTGCCATGTACTTTTCCTAAATGGTTACTTTCTCCCAAACTTATAATGTTCTCTATTATTTACATGACAGCCTGAAATCATGTCATTCATTTCATTCATTCAACGAATATTTACTGAGTCCCACTTTTTGCCAGGCGCTAATTCTAGGCATTTGGGACACATCGATCAACAGACAAAAACTCCTGTTTAATCTTGTCTTAACCTGTTGTTTTCCTGCCTTTCACCCACTAGTCCCCTAGATAATTATAGACATTATCTATAAATAAATCTACACCAGCAGTTATATTCTGGTATATTTATATGTATACCGCCCTGGCCAGGGGACTGCCGCTGCCGTCAGCCAGAGGGCTCCCTGAATGGAATGGCTGTTAACAGCAGGGGCACCCAAGTAGAAGTAAAATGCAGATGCACTCAATATTACCTACAAGCGCAAAATAAGGAGAACTCCGCGAGATGTACAACAGGCTGGTTGAGACTGGAAGTCATCTACGAAGTCATCTAGATGCAGCAGGATACAGAAATGGCAGGAATTTTAACATAAGCCCCAAGTCTATTTCCCGCTATACAGGTGACTTCCTCCCCACTATTCATACAGAACTTAAGGGGAGATGAGTGATTGTGTTTTCATCCCATTCCTGGGCCTACTGAAATGGGTGCTTATAACAGTTCCTGAATCTCCTGCCCGTAGAAGGCCAGTTTATCCTTTGCTTGAGCTGAAAAAAGTCACATTTAACAGAAGCGCAGTCGTGCACATGTGGCCAATGTAGATAAGAGTGTGTCATGTTTGTACGTTTCTCTGTGGGGCCCAGAAGACCCGAAAGTACTTAATTGGCCACAGATTATGAAGCCCACGTTCATCAAATTAGACTGGAGGTTAATTGTCCTTCAGATGTTGTTTTAGGCAGCTGCTCCATTATTCGCAAAAAAATCTGGGCCCCCAATTTACAGTAATCCTCCACACTGTGGCCTCTTGGCATAGCTGAATCCCGTAACCTTGGAAGCCATCAATAGTTCTCTCTCAAGCCACCTTTGGACCTAAAGGATATTTTAGTGGCAATATTCAAGAGGGGAAAATCTTGGTTTTCAAGATCAAAGCATATTCCTTACATTGATGACAGTCTTGGAAATCCAGAGGCTTTCTACCCAACAGCAGCCAGTAGGTGGCTTTGTTAATTTCTATTTAAGTAAATCAGTTGTTAAAAGCAGGGGGAAAATTCTAGGCTCCGATTTGAAATCTTCTATCTGATTTTAGCTCCTTTGGAGGAAGAAACAAAAATTCATGCCTGAGCCTAAATTAAATGACATAGAGCCCTCCTGTCAGAGATTCAGTTGACAGTCTTCTTTAATGTGCCCCCAATCTACTGTCCCAGCTTTTCCTCCCATTCTGCCCCTGCAGACGGGGCACCCTCCACCAAGCCCGGACTCCCCATCATGGCTAGAACACGTTCTGCAGCCCCGCTGATGTGATTATCTGAACCAGAACTGGGCCACCGCGACCTAGGTTGGCCTAACGATAACTGCTGACCAACGCCATGGGCTAGAGCTCTCTCTGGTCTCTCCTGCCTCAATCTGGGACTGGTTCAGACAACTAAGGTGACATTGAGCCAGTGAGTAGGACTTACGGAGCCCTCCCAGATCTGCAGAGAAGGAGACACAGGCTGGGGGACCACAGGGCCTGAGAGGTCAGTGCAGCCAACCTTCCATTAGTTAGTTCATCAGACCTGAAAAGATGTAACACTAACATATCACTGCTTCTGAGGTTAGGTCAACCAAGGAGCACCACCCACTCAGTAACGGCATTCGTTTATTCATTTGTTTGTTCATTCATTCTCTATTTAATGAGTCCCTGCATAGGTGTAAGCAGGTCCATCTCAATATGGCAAATCTAGTAAAATCTAGTTAGCCTGAACCCACTCAAGTATATACTTCCATTAACTGGAACGATGGGGTTCCTTCATATAAGTGACATTTCAGCCACACTGAACACACAGAGTTACCAATATTCTGTCTAAATATGCCTCTCCTTTTCCTCTACTAAAATAAATCAGTTATACTTAAAGTTACAGATGTCACTTCCCTAGGAAGCCTTTTCCAATTCCCCCAGTCTTCTTAGAAGGCTTTCCAGCTATATCTCCCACCACATCCCCACTTACTCTCTCCCCCAGCTGCACTGCCCTTCACTCAGTGCCTGCCTCAGGGACTTTGCACATGCAGTCTGCTCTCCTGCAATATTTTTGTCCATCTTCCACGCCCAGCACCAGAGCCCCTATTGCTCACTCCTTCGTCGCGGTAAGCCTCACCAACTTTCAGATCTCTGAAAGCTGAACCAGGAAAGCCAACCCTGAGCCAAAACCATTATTCACACCTTCACCACATGACACACGTTTTCTTCCCAGACTCTCTTTATCATTGTAACCACACTGACTAGCTCAATGGCACATGGTAGGCATAGTTAAGTATTGGCTGAATGAATGAATGACTGTCTCTACAGTATTTGTGTCACTGAATTCCAAATGCCCATCTGTGTACTGGCCCCAAAGCCTGGCCCTTGCCAGCCACCTCAAAGCCAAACAAATTTAAATGGGTACTGATACAGTTACACCTCGTCTATCCCCAGCTAGTAACAATGGAAGGTAAAATGAGGATCTTAAGATCCTGAGGTTGATGATCTGCATGTATTGCTAAGGTCATGAAAAGTGGCCTTGGAATATATCCAAAAAGGTTGTGTTCACCCCAAATCTATATGTTCAAGTCCTAACTCGCAGTACCTCCGAGTGTGACTAAATTTGGAGACAGGACCTTAAGGAGGTGATTAAGTTAAACGGGCCCCTTAGGGTGGGCTCTAATCCAATCTGACTCGTGTCTTCATCTCCCAAGAACAGACTGGGACAGACACATACACAGAGGGAAGAGCATGTGAGGACTTGGGGAGAAGACAGACATCTATAAGCCAAGGAGAGAGACCTCAGAGGAAATCAACACTGCCAGCACCTTGGTCTTCCGTCTTCAGAACTGTAGAAAAATTAATTGCTACTGTTTGAGCCAGTCTGCGGTACTTTGTTACAGTGCCCCCAGCAAGCTAATACAGCGCCCGAGCTGAACTGAGGAAGAGGGAAGCGATGTTTGCCAAGAATCCACTGCCCGCCCGTCTTCACAATCCTCGGTCGTCTTCTCCCCAGTACCAGCCTTTCGTCTTTGACAAGTGGACACTAAGGCACAGAGGCACAGAACCACAAAGGGGCTGAAGCGGGATTGGACTCTGGGGCTATCTGCTTCCAAGTTGCCTGTCCTCTTTTGTAATATACCTTCAGATCCAAAAGACCAGAGTAGAAAATATGAAAGCGAATTCTAATTTGCTTTAGTTAGCGCTTAGAAAATGGTCAAGATCACGATTTTAGCCAAGCTGAAGAACCATATGATTTGTATGCACCACCCAAATAAAGTGATTGAAATACTGTGAGCAGATGTGAATAGGAACTAATTTGCTTTTTAATGAGCATTCTGACCAGATCAATACTACAAAATGCTAAACTACAAAATGTCATTACAATTTAAATGCAACTGCCCGGTGATTGGTTCAAAGAGGCACTTATTGAAGCTAAAAATATATTTTCTCTTCATAAGAGTAGGAGTCTATTATGTAAAATAAAGTCATGAAAATTTTAATTGCACTGCATAACGGACAGAACCTGGTCTAAGCCCACATACCATGGAAAAACTGAAACAAAATGCAGCTGAATGCTTAATCAGCTGTCTGTCACTTTCTGAATAGTGCCTAATATTCTAATTATTAGTCACCGCACTGAGAAGGCACAATTACGGAACAGGGACGATAGCTTTAATTTTTTTTTGTTGTTGTAAACCCACAATTTGTGAAGCCTTCACAAAAATATGATTTAGTTCCCCATAAGCT